CAGACCAGGGAATTCAAGCAGTGCCTCCTTCCGAAAAGCAGAGAGAAACATCAAATAAGGCTTACCTACTCGTTTTACAGGGGCTTAGGAACTATAGAATTTTTGTAACTGAGGAAAAAAAATGCTACTTGTTAGCAAAACTGTCTTCAGCATTGGTTTTGCCAATGACAAAAACCACAATTACTTTGCACCAACCAAAAAGTATGCGGGAAACATAAAATCTTGAATATATATGAGAGAAAGGAAAATATTTACGTAAGTGTGGTGATTTCTAGATTTGCTAGGTATGTTATAATTAGCACATGGAATGAAGATGCTAAGAACAAATTTGCCACTATGAAACTTTTTTTTTTTAACCTTATGCGGCCTTTTAGCCTAATCAAATTTATTTTATTTTATTTTTGTTTAGACTACCTCATGGAACAAAATAAATAAACGTCCTATTAAATGAAGGTTTCATTTTTTACATCATCTCTTTGCATAGACTTTTGCAAATGCTTGATAAGAGACATGTGAGTAGAATGTAGATTTTACAGTAACCAATTTCAAGAACTGTTTCAATTGCTGTAATGGTTCAGCATCAAGCAATGGACTGCACAATCAAGTAGTTGCTCACATTCACTTTTTGAGAAATGACTGGACCAGAAGTATATCTTGTGGTCCCTTAAGTCATATTAACATTGCTTTACTGATGACCAGTTCAGTCATCAATAAATGCAAAAAGTCAATAAATCTAAAAAATATATCAAAATCCTCAATATATTCAGGGGAAAATATGATATTCCACAAGGAAGATCCAAAATTAGAATAGCCATTTTTTCTCTTGCAGGAATATATGTCTTTTCTGGGAAAATTTTTAAATTCTCTCTTAAAAATACCTCATTTTATATAAAAATTTTTTAGTGGTTGATAAACATCTAGCTCTTGGCACACAAAAGTAGTTTACTTAATTCCCTGGGCAGTATATGACCCAGAGAGGTTATCCCAAAAGAATATCTAGAAATCGGAGTCAGAGACACCACCGGCGATATCAGCTGTCTTTTTTCCAATTTTATTTTCATAATTGAGAACATAAATTGTACAAATTCCAATTGTTTTTCACCCTATTTTGTTATAAATAAAAGTCAGTATAGCCTATTATTCATAGCCAGAGTGAAATAAAATGTATTTAAATTTCATAAAGTTTACTGCAAACCTAATTTGCAATTTATTTTGCTTATACTTTGTGTTTTTCTCTCTCCCAAATCCTCCCCTCATACTCACTCCCTGGTCACCACCATTTTACTCTCTGGTTCTTTGAGTTCAATGTTTTTTAAAAAAATTTTATGTAAGGATGAGATCATGTATTTGCCTTTCTGTACGTGGGTTATTTCACTTAAAATGATGTCTTCCAGTTTCATCTATATTGTCACAAATGAAAAAATGTTCTTCCTTTGTAGAGCTGAAAAATATTCATGTGTGTGTGTGTGTGTGGGTGTGTGGGTGTAAAACACACACACACATATTTTCTTTATCTATTTATTAATTGATGAACACAGGTTGATTCAATGTCTGGCTACTGTGAATAATGCAGCAATAAGCATAGGAGTGAAGACATTGCTTTTGACAGAATCATTTTATTTCTTTTGGATATACACTTAGTAGTTGGACTGCTGAATAATGTGGTAACTTTAATTTTAGTCTTTGAAAAACTTTTAATTTTTTCCAACTTTTAAGTTCAGGGATACATGTGCAGGATGAGCAGGTTTGTTACATGGGGAAATGTGTGCCAAGGTGGTTTGCTGCACAGATCATCCCCATCACCCAAGTATTAAGCCCAGTGTCTGTTAACTATTCTTCCCAATGCTGTTACTCCTCCTATTCCACACCCTCCAACAGGCCCCAGTGTGTATTGTTTCTTCCCCATATGTCCATGTGTTCTCATCATTCAGCTCCCACTTACAAGTGATAACACACAGTGATTGGTTTACTGTTCCTGTGATAATCTGCTAAGAATAATGGCCTCCAGCTTCATCCATGTCCCTGCAAAGGACATGATCTTGTTCTTTTTTGTGGTTGCATAGTATTCCTTGGTGTATATATACCACATTTTACTTATCCATTCTATCATTGATGGATATTTAAGTTTATTCCGTATCTTTTCTACTGTAAATAATACTGCAATAAACACAAGAATGCATGTATCTTTATAATAGAACAATTTGTATTTTTTTGAGCATGCATCCACTAAATGGATTGCTGGTTTGAATGCTATTTCTGTCTCTAGGTCTTTGAGGAATTGCCACACTGTCTTCCACAATAGTTGAAGAAATTTACACTCCCAACAACAGTGCAAAAGTGTTCCCTTGTGTCCATGACCTCACCAGCATCTGTTGTTTTCTGACTTTTTAATAATAGACATTCTGACTGGTGTGATATGGCATCTCATTGTAGTTTTGATTTACATTTCTCTAATAATCAGTGATATTGAGCATTTTTATGTTTGTTGGCCACATGTATGTCTTCTTTTGAGAAGTATCTGTTCGTGTCTTTTGCCCACTTTTTAATTGGTTATTTGTATTTTTTTCTTGGAAATTTGCTTAATTTCCTTATAGATGCTGGATATTAGACCTTTGTCAGGTAGATACATTGCAAAAATATTCTCCCATTCTGTTGGTTGTCTGTTTACTTTGATGATAGTTTCTTTTGCGATACAAAAGCTCTTTCATTTCATTAGATCCCATTTGCCAATGTTTGCTTTTGTTACAATTGCTTTTGGCATCTTTGTCATGAAATATTTTCTAATGCCTATGTCCTGAATGGTATTGCCTAGGTTTTCTTTAAAGTTATTTTATAGTTCTGGGTTTTACATTTAAGTCTTTAATCCATTTTGATTAAAATGGATTTTTGTATATGGTATAAGGAAGGGGTCCAATTTCAGTTTTCTGCATATTACTAGTCAATTATCCCAGCACCATTTATTAAACATGGAATCCTTTCCCCACTGCTTGTTTTGTTATTAGGTTTCTTGAAGATCAGGTGCTTGTAAGTGTGTAGTCTTATTTTCCTTGGTTTATGTGTCTATTCCTATAGCAGTACCATTCCGTATTGGTTGCAATAGCCCTGTAGTATCATTTGAAGTCTGTTAGTGTGATGCCTCCAGCTTTGTTCATTTTGCTTAGGATTGCCTTGGATATTTGGGATCTTTATTGGTTCCATGTAAATTTTAAAATAGCTTTCTCTAATTCTGTGAAGAATGTCAATAGTAGTTTAATGGAAATAGTATTTTAGTAATTTATAAATTACTTCAGGTAATATGGCCATTTTCACAATATTGATTCTTCCTGTACGTGAGCATAGAATGTTTTTCCACTCATTTGTGTTATCTCTTATTTCCTTGAGCAGTGGTTTGTAGTTCTTCTTGAAGAGGCCCTTCACTTCCCTTGTTACTGTATTCCTCGGTATTTTATTCTTTTTGTGGCAATTGTGAATGGGAGTTCATTTGTGATTTAGTTCTCAGCTCGCCTGTTATTAATGTAAAGAAATGCTAGTGATTTTTGCACCTTGATTTTGTATCCTCAGACTTTGCTAAAGTTGTTTGTCAGCTTAAAAAGCTTTTGGCCTGAGACGATAGGGTTTTCTAAATATAGGATCATGTCATCTGCAAACAAAGATAGTTTTCTTCTCTTCCTATGAATACCCTATATTTCTTTCTCTTGCCTTATTTTCCTGAGCACAAATTCCAACACTGTGTTGAATAGAAGTAGTGAGAGATGGCATCCTTGTCTTGTGCCAGTTTTCAAGGGGAATGCTTTCAGCTTTTGCTCATTCAGTATGATATTGGTTGTGGGCTTGTCATATATGCCTCTTATTATTTTGAGATAAGTTCCTTCAACACCTAGTATACTGGGAGTTTTTAACATGAAGGGATGTTACATTTTATCAAATGCCTTTTCTGCATCTATTGAGGTAATCATGTGGTTTTTGCTTTTAGTTTTGTTTATATGATGAATCACATTTATTGATTTATGTATGTTGAACCAGCCTTGCATCTTAGTGTTTAAGCCTACCTGATCATGGTGGGTAAGATTTTCAATGTGCTGCTGGATTCAGTTTGCCAGTATTTTATTGAGGATTTTTGCATCGATGTTCATCAGGGATATTGGCCTGAAGTTTTTGTTGTTATACTAGTTGTTGTATCTCTGCCAGATTTTGGTATCAGGATGATGCTGGCCTCATAAAATGAGTTAGGGAGGAGTCACTCCTTCTCGGAATAGTTTCAGTAAGAATGGTACCAGTTCTTCTTTGTACCTCTGGTAGAATTCAGCTGTGAATCCATCTGGTCCTGGGTTTCTTTTAGTTAGTAGGCTATTAATTACTGCTTTGATTTCAGACATTGTTATTGGTCTTTTCCAGGATCCAGTTTCTTCCTGGTTCAGTCTTGGGAGGGTGTATGTGTCCAGGAGTTTATCTATTTCTTCCAGATTTTTTAGTTTATCCACAGTCATGTTTATATTATTCTCTGATGGTTGTTTGTATTTCTGTGGTATCAGTGGTGATATCCTCATAATTTCTGATTGTGTTTATCTGAATCTTCTCTGTTTTCTTCTATTTTAGTCTAGCTATGTTATGCTTATACTTTCTAAAAACTGTAACATGCCAAAATAACCTTACTGCATGGTTGGTATACATGAACTATTTATTTGTTCTTTAAATCACTTTTTTTTTTCACTCAAAGTATCTTCTTTACATTCCAGTTTCTTGTTCCAAGTTCTTAGCTTGGAATGACTGACTGAAATCTTCCCAAAGCAGAGATGACTATTGCCAGAGCCCTACATAACCTTACCAATGCTCAGTCACTCAGAACTACTCCATCTGGGTTTCCGTCCATCCAAAGAGCCAGCTGCTCTAAACAAATGCCTTACTCATCTCGCCTGTTGTATCACAAGATGAAATATGCTACTTCCATAATTACTGTTCTCAACTTCTGAATAGAGCCAGCAACCAACTAACAGTTTGTTTGGTATACAAGCTGTTGTTAATTTTTTGGTCATATAATTGGGTATAGGGATTACTTTATTACTGCTCACTAGAAGCTGTTCTCCATGACATCCCAATGTAGACATTGCATTAGCTTACACATGGAATATGAATCTATGAAACAGGTAAATATCAAGAGCTGACATGTGGAAGATGCTGAGTATCCGAGGAAGTCAATTATTAGAAGAAAATGTTCAGACTAAGAAGGATGACTTACATCAGAAAGGTATAGTTTGCAATTGCTCTTTATTGGCAATAACCTGAGGGTACAGCTTGCTGGGAGAAGTGGAACAATTTTTACGCTGTCCCAAGAGAATTTCTGTACATTCTTCTCTGGCCCCAAGACTAATTCTTACAACAATAGTAGCACTAGGAATAAAAGAAATGCAAGACAGGAGAAATACAGGCAGCCAAATCTATCTAGACTAAACCTCAGACACGAATAAATGAGAAAAACTATGCAAACTGTCCTTCATGTCAACCACATACACTCTGTACTAGAATCTGAGAGAAGAAACCCTGCTGTCTTTCTAATATCTAGATCAACATCTGGTTTGTAATAGATGCTAAAGAAATATTTGCTTAACAAATGTGGAACAACATTTTTTTGTGTGTTTTTTTAATAATTCTTTTATTGCTGTTTTTTTTTTTTTTTTTTTAAGCTCCAGGGTACATGTGCCAGATGTAGAAGTTTGTTATATGGGTAAACATGTGCCATGGTGTTTTGCTGCACCTATCAACCCATCACCTAGGTATTAAGCCCAGCATGCATTAGCTCTTTTCCCCATCCACCTTCCCCCAACAGGACCCAGTAAGTGTTGTTCCCCTCCCTATGTCCATGTGTTTCAGTGTTCAGCTCCCATTCATAAGTAAGAACATGCAGTGTTGGGTTTTCTCTGCCTGCATTAGTTTGTTGAGAATAATGGCTTCCAGCTTCATCCATGTCCTTGCAAATGACATGATCTCATTCTTTTTATGGCTGCACAGTATTCCATGGTGTATATATACCACATTTTCTTTATCCAGTCTATCATTGATGGGCATTTAGGTTCATTCCATGTCTTTGCTATTGTGAATAGTGCTGCAATGAACATATGTGTGCAGGTATCTTTATAACAGAATGATTTGTATTCCTTTGCGTATATACCCGTAATGGGATTGCTGGGTCAAATGGCATTTCCAGGTCTATAGCACTGGGGAATTGCCACACTGTCTTCCACAATGGCTGAAGTAATTTACATTCTCACCAACAGTGTAAAAGCATTCCTATTTCTCCACAACCTCACCAGCATTTGTTTTTTCTTGGTTTTTAAATAATTGCCATTCTGACTGGTGTGAGAAGGTATCTCATTGTGGTTTTGATTTGCATTTCTCTAATGATCAGTGGTGTTGAGCTATTTCTCATATGTTTGTTGGCAGCATGTATGTCTTCTTTTGAGAAGTGGCTGTTCATGTTTTTGCCCACTTTTTAATGGGGTTGTGTTCTGTTTTTTTTTCCTATAAATATGCTTAAGCTCCTTGTAGATTCTGAATATTAGCCCTCTGTCAGAGGGATAGATTGCAAAAATTTTTTTCCATTCAGTAGGTTTTCTGTTCACTCTGATGATAGTTTCATTTGCTGTGCAGAAGAATATCCCTTATAAATTTGTTTATAGTGTTGATAAACTGGAAACAACCCAAATGTCCTTAATTTTGTGATGGATTAAATAAATTATAATACATTGATATAATAAAATAACATGCAGCTGTTATAACAGAAAGCTGTATTTATATAAATAGAAGGATATTCACAATAAATTTTTAATTAAAAAAGGAAGACATAAGACAAGTTGTAGAGTATGCTCCGATTATGGTTAGAATGAAGGCAGATACACACAGATATAATTGTATATGCATAGAATATTTCTGGAAGAATACCTAAGAAATTGTCAATATAAATTATATCTAAGAAACAGGACAGAAAGCATGAGAATTAGGGTTGGGATGCCCATTTGTCACTATAACTTTTGGACTATTAGAGTATTTGCCATATGCATTAATTATCCTAAAGAAAAGATAAATTAAAAATAAAGAACATAATGTAAATCTGACTACATAAAAATGTACAGTTCAAGAAATAGCCCACTTTTTGATGGGACTGTTTATGTTTTTGTTGTTGACTTGTTTGAGTTCCTTGTAGATGCTGGATATTAGTCCTTTATTGGATGATAAATATTTTCTCCAATTCTGTGGGTTGTCGGTTTACTCTGCTTATTACTTCTTTTGCTATACAGAAGTTTTTTAATTTAATTAAGTTCCATCTATTTATCTTTGTTTTTGTTATATTTGCTTCTGGGATCATGAAGTCTTTGTGGAAGCCAATATATAGAAGGGTTTTCCTGATTTTATCTTCCAGAATTTCTATGGTTTCAGGTCTTATATTTAAGTCTTTGATCCATCTTGAATTGATTTTTGTATACAGTGAGAGATGAGGATCCAGTTTCATTCTTCTACTTGCAGCTTGCCAGTTATCCTAGAACCATTTGTTAAGTAGAATGTCCTTTTACCATTTTACCCAAAAACCTATTAAAATTTAAAAAATAAATAAAAATAAAAATGTACACTGGAAGAAATAAATAATTAACCAAATTCTTTCAGCACACACATCTTAGCATATTTTGGGAATGAATCTGACCATTTTTAGGTCATTTGAGAATGTAGTATAGGGCTCCCGTAACACCTAGTTTCTTGCTATTCTTGTTCTGTGTTATACTTTCTCGAGAGCCTGTCCTTCAGTAATGATTTACTGAGAGGTATAGAACTGAGAGGTATAGAACAGATTGGAGTTTAAGTAAAATTATGATGAAACCTTAGTTAATCTTTAACAAAATTTTCTCCGCTCTTTATTTCTGCACAGCCTACCCAGGGCCTGCATGCACACCTGTACCTTAGCTTCTAAAAGAACTCCCATGCAATATCTCCCCAGAGGTTTTACAGGAAAGGACGAAGGGTGTTGCATATCCTACTAATAATTAAGTCAATTTTATTCATTTGAGCTTCATTAAAATAAATGTTACAACCTCAGCCCTCATAGACAAAATTAAAAATTGAAGACCAATATTTAGAAGACAAAAAATAGAAATAATCCAACTGTGTTTAATTATGTGCAGCTTAAATAAACTAATGAATAAAAAACAAAAAAAGGAAAATAATTCTTCACCAATAATCTTCATGAGTAATCCTTTTAAAAATCAGTGTAAAGTTTTTTTATTTTCTACTTTTTCTTCTTATAATAAATTATAATTCTGTGCAAAAAACAAACACAGTCCCTTCTCAGAGTCAGCATTTAGGCACCAAGTAGTCAAAGTAGTCATCCCCTAATACTAAAAGCCTTCCCTTCAGTTCTCTCTTTTGTGTTATCTAAGGCCTTTTCACAATTTAAATTTTAAAAATCTGAAAAATTCAATGTATTAATATCTATTAAAGAATATTACATTTTGCTTTTTATTGGTCATATATTCTATTTCACAATGGGGCGATGGTGAGGGGTGGGTCTTTTTAAATCAGGTACTAGGCCAGGCCAGTTGAGGAAGTTATCTGGAGTCAGGAAGGCCTTGTAGATTTCCAACCACACAGTGAACGTATATAATGAACCATAGTTGTAGGCAGATACTTCATGGTTCAGTAAATCTCTGCCCAAAGCTGACGGGAGCTATGACTCAAAAAGAGGAAATGAGATAAAAACAGAAGGAAATTTGGTTTCTGCTGGTATATGATTTTGTTCCTTGAAATATGAGAGGAGAGAATGGGGTAAAATAAATCTGAATTTTGGCCTATCATGTGCCTTTGCCACATGTCTTTCACTACTGGATGGGCTTGATAATGCTGATAAAAGAGCAAGCTCTTGATTTTTGTTTGACACACCAGTGACATCTCTTAGGAGCCCTGCATATTTGAAGAAAGGAAGTTCTCTTTGTTTATAATACATTAGAAGGCAGTAAAGGTGACTTTTAAGAAGGCTTTGAAGTAGATTTTTTAAAAAGTAAAAGAAAAACACAAAAAAAAATCACAAGAATTTTCAAGACATTTAAGAAAGAAAATATAAATCTTATGGCCTCTCAATCCTGACAGTTTCCTTAAGTAGAATATTATATTTAATTAGATATATGTTGCCTTAAGGAGAAGTATATATTTAATCTTCTTAATTTCCCTCATTTGGTACATTCTGACAGAACAAAAAATACATTATCTTTAATATATCATACAGTATATTACATCTGTGTACAAAGTATATCAAATATAATATGCTACAACTACATTGAGATAATGAATGGAATTTGTTTGTAGCACTTTCTATCAAAGTAGAAAAGAAAAACTAAATGTATTATTTCCTGCAAGAATAAAAACATTTATATATCTAACCATAATAAATTGAACACATTTTATGCATGTAGAAGACAAAAATTTGATTTGAAAAATGTTTTGTTGGTTTGTTTTTTTTTTTGTTTTTTTTTTTTTTTTTGAGACGGAGTTTCACTCATGTTACCCAGGCTGGAGTGCAATGGCGCGATCTCGGCTCACCACAACCTCCATCTCCTGGGTTCAGGCAATTCTCCTGCCTCAGCCTCCTGAGTAGCTGGGATTACGGGCACGCACCACCATGCCCAGCTAATTTTTTGTATTTTTAGTAGAGACGGGGTTTCACCATGTTGACCAGGATGGTCTTGATCTCTTGACCTCGTGATCCACCCGCCTCGGCCTCCCAAAGTGCTGGGATTACAGGCGTGAGCCACCGCGCCCGGCCTGTTTTGTTGGTTTTAATAGCATAGATATATGATTTACAAATACTAATTTTGGAAAGTAAGTCTAATTTATGAAGCAAAATGTAATCTACTCATAGTCATGTGCCACTTAACAATGGGAATACGTTCTGAAAAATGTGTCGGGCAGTTTGTTTTTGTGCAGACATCATAGAGTGCACTTACACAAACCTAGATGGTAAACCTACCAGCACTCTTAAACTAAATAATATTGCTCCTAGACTACAAACCGATACAGATGTTACTCAATTGAATACTGTAGGCAATTGTAACATAATAGTATTTGTGTATCTAAGCATACCTTAATGTAGAAAAGGTACAGCAAAAATACAATTTATAAGATTATACCTGTATAGGACACTTACTATGAATGGAGTAACTTTCAGAACTGGAAGTTGCTCTCGGTGAGTCAGTGGGTGAATGGTGAGTAAATGTGAAGGCTTAGGACATTATTATTTACTACTGTAGACTTTATTAATACTGTACACTTAGGTGATGCTAGATTTATTAAAAAATCTTTAACTTTCTTCAAAATAAACAGCTTACTCTAACTTTTCTACTTTATGAACTTTAGATTTTTAACTGTTTGATTATTTTGTAATTGTAATTAGCTTAAAACACGAACACATTGAGAAGCTGTACAAAATATTTTCTTTTTTATATTCTTATTCAATAAGCTTTCATATATATTTAATTTTCTATGTTTTTATTTTTTAAATTTTTTGTTAAGACACCAACACCCACATTAGCCTGGCCTACACAAGGTCAGAATCATCAATATCACTGTCTTCTGCCTCCACATCTTGTCCCACTGGAAGGTCTTTTTTGGTAAAAATACACATGGAGCTGCCACCTTCCATAATAATGCCTTTTTTCTAGAATACCTCCTGAAGGACTTGCCTGGGCTGTTTTATAGTTAACTTTTAAAAAAAAAAATAAGGAGTACACACTAATGATAATAGTATTAATAATAAATATATCAACCTGTAACATAATTTATAATCATTATCAAGTATTGTACACTGTACATAATTGTTTGTGCTATCCTTCCATATGAATAGCAGCACAGTAGGTTTGTTTACACTGGCATCACCACAAAAACATGGTAATGTTTTGCACTATGACATTTTGACAGCTACAACGCCACTAGGCAACAGGAATTTTTCAGTTCCATTATAATCTAATGGAACCACTATCACTTATATGATTCTGTCATTGACCCAAATGTTATGGGGTGTATGACTGTATTTGCATTTGTTTTAATGACAAGTAAAAGTTCTTCAAAAGTAGAATCCTTATTTTAAATATATTTCTATCCTCCTCAGTACCTAATACAATCTCTTGCACATGCGATGTTTAATTTATAGTATTATAGTTGAGCCCTATTTATTTCCTAAAGGATTTGAAGAAACTATCTGTTTCTGATGGAATGTTTGTTTTCCTCCAAATTTCATATGTTGAAGCCTTAACTCCCAATGTGATGGTATTTGGAGATGGGGCCTTCTGGAGGTAATTAGGATTAGATGAGGTCATGAGGATAGAGCCCTCATGATGGAATCCGTGCCCTTATAAGAAGAGACACCAGAGCTTGCTCTCTTTTTCTCTCTGTTTCTCTCTCTAACATGCACAAAGAATCTGTTTTGTTGGCACATTGATCTTGCATGTTCCAGGCTACAGAACTGTGAGAAATAAATTTCTGTAGTTTAAGCTGCCCAGTCTATCATAATTTGTTACGGCAGCCTGTGGTTACTAAGACATTCTCAAAATAAAGTGTAATGTAATTCATGATAACAAAAACGAAAAACAGAATAGGGATCACCAAAGAGATTTAGAGAAACTAAATGTTTTTAGGTACCTGAGATAGATTAGTTACTACTATTTGGGGCTGACATTTTCTTAGTTTTCTAGCTACTAAGACACAATGGGAAACATGCTGGATTATACAGTATTGATGATTTGAGAAAAAAAAAAGCAAACATTCAACCCATTTTTAAACTTTGTCTAGACCTATAACACCAAAATGCAGAAGCTAGGTGGAAAAGCCTCAGGAGCCAGCCCAAGAATCATGAGTAAATATGTCAATACAATAGAAAGCCTAAGGTGTGGGTAGCATTTGAATAAGATCCATTAAGTCACCCACAGAAACAAGTTTTCATCCTCTTTCACTTTGAAAAGATGTCCTATGATTAGTTGAATAAGCATCAGCCTTCACCGATGGAAAAGTCCAATAGTTCAAAAATAACTTTTACCAATTTTGCTGAAATGTCTAAAGGTCCACTTAAGATTGAGGGAATCTTCAATAATTTACCATTAAGATGCAAATTGAACTTCTCATTTAATAAATGTTGAAAACTATTTTTAAAATGTTTTAGTGTACATGGAAACTTCTTTTATACAGTGACAATTTATATGAGGAAATATTTTGGAATATGTTTATAAAGAGGAAATTTAAAGGAATGTTGCAATATTCTTTTAGGATTGTGAAAAATACACTGATTTTGAACAAAAGCAACAAAAAAACCTTTTTATCTCACATTAAGCACCCAGTAAACTTTTGTTGGTTTATTTTAGAATTTTTTTTAAATTATAGAATACAAATATTGCATGTTCTCAACATCAATCACCATTTTGTCTTTGACCGAACTGCAAATGGTATAGAAAACTGGGTTGATTGCTTATTGATATCTATCAGGACACACTCTGAGATTTTCTTTTTTGATTAAACCATAAATATCACCAAGCTTTCTTGTAATTTAACTCTTTCTTCTAAAAATTGAGTATGGATACTACAATGGTGAACACATATCATTGTACATGATTCAAACCCTTCACATGTATACTAAACACCAAAAGGCCAGGTGCGGTGGTTCACACCTGTAATCCCAGTGCTTTGGGACGTGAAGGCAGGTAAATCACAAGGGCAGGAGTTCAAGACCAGCCTGGTCAAGATGGTGAAACCCCATCTGTACTCTACAAAAAGTAGCTGGGCATGGTGGTGGGCACCCGTAATTCCAGCTATTCAGGATGCTGGGGCAAGGAATTGCTTGAATCTGGGAGGCGGAGGCTGCAGTGAGCCAAGATCATGCCACTGCATTCCAGCTTTGACAACAGAGTGAGACTCCGTCTAAATAAATAAATAGCAAGCATGAACCCTAAGGTCAAATATGAACTTTGAGTGATTATAATATGTCAATGTGGCTTCACCAATTGTAACAAACCACTCTGGTGGGGAATGTTGATGACAGAGGTGGCTATGCATGTGTGGGAGGCAGGGAGTATATGGGAAGTCTGTATATTTCTCTCAACTTTTCTGCAAAACTACAACTGCTCTAGAAAATAAGATGTACTTTAAAACTGGATACAGAAAAATGAATTTCAATGTGTAAATTAACTATACTCAAATTAATTGGTATGTGATTGCTTCATGAGAAACCATAGGTAGGAAAAGAAAAAGGCAGAGCCAAAATACTTTTGAAATTAAAATGTGTCCAACTCACCATAATAAACAAATACTGCAACACTCAATTAATTTCCTTCTTTCCTTTCCAAAATGTTTCCACAAATTAGTTGTAACTGTATAAAAGAAGTTGCTATATGTACAATGGTAACCATGGTATCCTTCATATTATCTGCATAATGCATGTTTAATTCATTCTTGTGCAAAGCATAATTCGAATGTAGCAAAATTTAGTCTTTCCAAAGCATCGTTATTATATGAAATGTACTGTATACAGTCAAATCATAGATACTGCCACAATGGGGAAAAAAGGAAGAAAGCAAAGAGGAAAAAAGAATTTGGTTACTATTATTTGAGGATTGCATGACCACCAAATCCGTCACAAATTGTTTTATATAAACCTGTTATGACTTACAGAATTCTAGCCATCCTAATTTGTATCTCTACTTTATGACCAAAAGGTGGCACTGTTCCATTTATTATGAGTTTGGCATCTAGTACATGGTGCTATAGTCAGTCACTCTGTAATGTTCTCCACTGAAACTAGCAAGGCGTGCATCATTAACCATTCTGCTTCACAGGCCCTGATATCAAGAGGATCATACCAGCAGCTACTCTGACATAACTCATTAAGAAACTGTTGTAAATAAGAATCTTGTAGAAAAGTATAACGGCAGGTTAATCAGCTCCCCCACCTTGGAAAGAAACTAAATCCTTCTGGCTGACCTGCTTTTGGGAAGAAATAAATTACTATTTGCATCACAAAAGATGGAGGCATTCCACAAAGTGGGGAGACAGCTACAGTTAAGACTGTGGCATTTGATTCACTTTTCTCTCCAAGTCCCAACCAAGCAAGGTGATTTATTCTCCTGAGCAATGACTGAAATGTTTACTTACGCACCTGGTCAGGCAGCCAGCCACAGGCACATCTTAAACAGCTATGGGAAATGGTTTTAACTGACCTTAGAGGTTCCTGATTAAAAGCAAGACAGGTGTCTAAATTTCTGAGACAAATTAGCTAAAATTAAAAAAAAGAAAAACCTGACTGGAGGCTTTACCCAGTGCCTCATCAGCATGCAACAACAGTTCTTTATGGTTTAAATCAAACAAGAAAAAGAAGATCCTAATACAAATGCAGAAACCATCAGTGAAATTTCCCATCACCTACTACACAGTCAGCAGCAGGGGACAGAAAAAGGGGTGGTTCAATGTCTCTTCTTTTTGGTAGAAACATGATGGCTATGAATAAAGAAGTAAGATGCAGCTCCCTAAGCATTATACTCTACAAAATACAAATGCTATACTAAACGTAATAGCATTCCATTTTAACAGCTTGTATTTATGTTACATTTTTCTCCATCTCATAGATTCATTTTAAGTTTTAAACCTGGCTGTAACAAAGAATGGCAACAGAGTTGTTTACACTATAAAGATATATTTAATCTTTATTTCCTTGTCAGTAATTATCTTCTGAGGTCAAAACACAATGAAATAATTACCTGAGTAACATGAGGCAAAAATTTTTAAAAAATCAGAATCTGGATTACTTGTATAATAGAATTCTTCAATTCTTCACTTTTTGCTCCAACAGTGGAAATGTGACCTTTTAATGCAAAGGTATAGCATAGCTGAAATGGCTCATGTTGTCAGGAATGAAAGAGAGGCCAGTCAAATTCAAATGATGGAATTCTCTAATTACTGAACCATATAGCAGAGCACCTGCCTACTCTCCATCCCTGCCCCAGCACATACAGTACTCTAGTGTACGGCTTTTTGTTGAACACTCAAAGCACTCAGTAGCTAGGATATTGCTTTGTGAACAAAAAGCAGGATGCTTTCTGAAATCACAGGTCAGGGAGATTGTATTCACATGCATTAGGGAACAGGTAAAATCCTCACTATTATGAAAAGGGGACTTCAGAATTCATTTTTGTTGTAGTGATTTTTCATTAAGGGTCCACAGAAGCCGGAAAATTATAAGCTGATATCTAGTCTGTTTCTGTCTTTGAATTAAAAGATGAAAAGCGGCATTTTAAATATTGATGGAAAAAATAAAGAGGACATAATACATGTGGAGGGGTAGTAGGAGGTGGTAAGAGATGTTTCATGTGGACACCTACAGCCACCCTGTCTCACTGTCTTACTCCTTTCTTTTGAACTTGCAGGTA